TAAATAAGACAGTCTCTGATTTCATATATACACATATATATGTCTTATTTAAAAAATATATATATATGTAAATGAACATAAAGAGGTAATATGCAAATTAGCCAGGACGCCATAACATCACGACCGGCAGGCGGAGGCTAGCGCAGATGGGCAGGAGGGGACTGCATACACAGTGAGGCAAGCCATGGATGGTGCAGACACGGAGAGAACCAGGCCTGCCAGCTACGCATGCCAGCAGTCCCACCTCTGAGTGTGAGCTGCGGAAGAAACACCTTTTCTGACCATTCATTGGCTAAGCTCCCCATATGCCACAGGCAGTGTTCTTGGTAACTTGGGTAATAAGAATCCAAGAAGGTGATCTAGGTTTTTCCACCTCACTCCTGGAGGAAAAAATGAAGGTTCACTGCTGGAGGGGCTAAGAAATGTCATATCCTGTCCTAGCCGGTTTGGCTCAGTGGATAGAGCCTTGACCTGCCGAAGGCAAAGTCCGGGTTCGATTCTGGTCAAGGGCATGTAACTAGGTTGCAGGCTCTTCCCTGGCCAGAGCCCAGGTCAGAGCTCATGCAGGAGGCAACCAAAGTGTCCCTCTCACACTGATGTTTCTCTCTGCCTTTCCTTCTCTCTCCCATGCTCTCTAAAAATCAATGGAAACATATCCTTAAAAAAAAAAAAAAAAGTCGCCAAAACCAGTTTGGCTCAGTGGTAGAGCATCGGTCTTCAGACTGAAAGGTCCCAGGTTCAATTCCAGTTAAGGGCATGTACATTGGTTGTGGGCACGTACCTTGGTTGTGGGCACATCCCCAGTAGGGGGTGTGTAAGAGGCAGCTGGTCGATGTTTCTCTCTCATCAATGTTTCTAGCTCTCTATCCCTCCCTTCCTCTCTCTAAAAAAATCAATAAAATATATTTAAAAAAAAAAAAGTCGATTGATTAAAAAAAAAAAAAAAGTCATATCCTATAAAAGTGACATCTTGAAAATGTCTAAAGAAGGATGTCATTTTTTTGTGGTGAAAGGACTAGAGTCTGCTGATAAAAACACCTTGGCGGCTGCAGCGGAGTGATGGGAGCAGAGCCTTACCCTGATCAGCCCAGTAGCCTCCTGCAGAGGGAGATCAGACTGCGGCTTAAGAGAGCAGGCCTAAGCCACCAGTAAGATATCTCCTAAGGGCTCCTGGATTGGAGATGGTGCAAGTCGGGCAGAGAGAGACCCTCCCACCCACCCCTGTGCACAAATTTCATGCACTGGGCCTCTTGTATACAGTATAATTTCACTTTTTATTAGTTATTCAGAATCATCATTATGAACACACCCTAAAAAAGTTACCTGATATGCCCTAGGTGTGGATTCTTTGAACTAACTAAAATTCAGTCCTCCTTGAGTTTTTCTAACTGCTTTTGATAATTTTTGTCTTCTGCCTGCTTTTAATCATTTTTGTCTCCTTCCTCACTATTAATAAGATTATATTCAACACAAATAAACTTTATACCTACCCAGTCTACGGGCTAAGAAGTCAAATAATCAAGTATGATAGAATCACCTATAAGAGTTTATTTATAACCAAGATGCTTTGCTATGAGTAAAGGGCAAGAAATTTGGTCCACTGCTTTATAAAAACTACCTTGGCTCCTCACAAGGCCAGATTTCTTCATGGAAAGCTTGCTTATGTTTCAGATAACTTAAGTATTTGACCAGAAAGAAATGTGGGGTTAATACAAACAAACTAAAAGAGCAATTTATGAGTTAGCTCTGGGCCTATGCCCTGAAAAAAAATCTGAGCATTCAGGAATTTCTTCTGAGAATATAAATAAATTCCTACCTCAAAATTTTTACCTGAGAATGCGAGGCAACGCCTCTTGTCCCTAGGAATATGGCCCTATTCCCTTCCCTACAGTGGTAACAGAAACCAAACTGGCAAAGGACCAGGGTGCTGAATGTATTCTGGCAAGAAATCCAGCCTGAAAGAATTGGGCTTCCACTCCCCAATCCAATATTTACTACTTGTGCAAACTTGAATCACTCTCCAAACCACTATAGCCTTATGCATAAAATAGGCATTATCTTCCCACTTCTTCCAAAGGCTATTAGAATCCAAATCTAAATCAAGTAAGACAGCACTCTATAACCTGAAAAGCACTCTACTGATATTTCTTCAATTATCCAATCTGAGGCTCATTATATTATGGCAGACAGAATTGGTGAAATTTAAAGAGAAATCTGTGATTTAACTTAGTGTCACCAAAGGGGCTGATGCTTCAAAGGTCTACAAAGAGTTTACATCTTTCCCTAATATTATCTAATAAAAGAGTAATTTGCAAATTAACCATACCTCCACTATACCCAGCCACACCCACCAGCCAATCAGCGCAAGTATCCAATTAACTCCAACCAAGATAGCTGCAGCCACAGAGAGCAAAAGGGAGGCTTGAGTTTCCCAGGCAATGGAAGAAGCCCAGCTTTCTGCCTGCCCTAGCCGGCCCAGGCCTCCACTTCAGGCTACAAAGTTTCAACTACAGAAGGTAAACAAATCCAAACAGAAATGGCAGCAGCCAGCCACAGAGCAAGCAGAAGACTTGGCTCCGCTCCAGGCTACAAAGTTTCGATTGTAGAAGGAAAATAAATTCCAGATACCAGGGCCTCTGGTTCGGTCGCCAGGAGGTGTGGCCGGCCTGCAAACTACCACAGGTCCCTCGCCCAGGCCACCCAACACCCTAAGGAAACCCCCACCCTGATCCGGGATACCCTTCAGGGCAAACGAGTTGGCCCCCACCAGGCACTAAAACTTTATCTTAAATAATAAAAGTGTAATATGCAGATTGACCATCACTCCAACACACAAGATGGCTGCCCCCATGTGGTCAAAGATCCTGCCCCCATGTGGACACAAGATGGCCATCAGGGGAGGGCAGTTGGGAGGGACCAGGCCTGTAAGGGAGGGCAGTTGTGGGTTATCAGGCAAGCAAGGGAGGGCAATTAGAAGGCACCAGGCCTACAAGAGGGCAGTTGGGGGTGATCAACCCTGCAGGGGAGGACAGTTAGGAGTGACCAGGCTGGCAGAGGAGGGAGGTTGGGGACAAACAGGCTGGCAGGGGAACAGTTAGACATCAATCAGGCTGGCATGAGAGTGGTTAGGGGGTGATCAGGCTGGCAAGCAGAAGTGGATAGGGGCAATCAGGAAGGTAGGCAGGTGAGCAGTTGGGAGCCAGCAGTCCTAGATTGTGAGAGGGATGTCCGACTGCCCGTTTAGGCCTGATTCCACCAGGCCTAAACAGACAGTCGGACATCCCTCAAGGGGTCCCAGATTGGAGAGGGTATAGGCTGGGCTGAGGGAACACCATCACCTCCTACCTCCAACCCCCTGTGCACAAATTTTGTGCACTGGGCCTCTAGTATACATATAAGAAGCCAGGAGGATTTCACATAGATACAGTGAATAAAATGTACCCATAATTCAAGGTTCATTTGGAATTAAATTAACCAAATATCCAATTACCTTCTCCAAAAGATGTTTCTAGGTATATTAAAGTAACCTAGAAAACATCTATTTCTACTATCCTCAACTTGAGATCCCTCTCATGGTAGATATACTCAGAAACTTCCCACTGCTTAAACTTAAAGGTTGATGCTTAGGGAATTTGTTCATCTTTTAAAGAAATAGCTCAAGTTCACTTGCCCCTTAAAATATCGGTTTCTTAGGTTATCTATCCCTTCCCCATGCAATCCCTAATTCTGTTCTCCAGTACCAGTCTTTTCAACTTATTTTTGAAACTATATTAGACAAGCAGTGCTGATAACTCTATAGGGCATGTAGTCCCTTACCAAGAAAAGAAAAGAAAGTTCTACATGCCGTATCAAATCAATACATTCCTTAACAAGGGAGAAAGCATATCAAACAAAGTTCTCACTCCACAGAACCCTAATGTCTCAGTAAATTTTTCCAAGGTACCCCACAGCTCAAAGAAACAACTAACATTTCCATTTATTAAGTAGTTAGATCCAAAAAAACTAAGTATTTATGCCCTATGAACTTAGCATCTGTTGGGCATTACACTACTTCTCAAATCCAATTGGATACCACCATCCTCATTCTTGTTCCTAATCTATTTTCCCAGTACTTGCTTATCAGAGCAAAGCCAAAAACATGGCTTAACAAAGATTTAACTTCAGCCCTGGCTGGTATGGCACAGTTGGGTATTGTCACATGCACAGAAAGGCTGCTGGTTCAATTCCCAGTCAAGAGTACATGCCTGGGTTGCAGGCTCCATCCCCTATAGGGGACATGCAGGAGGCAGCCAATTGATATTTCCCTCTCACAACAATCTTTCTCTCCATCTCCCTTCCCCTCTCTAAAAATCAATTTTAAAAAATATTTTTAAAAATGTATATATAACTCATCAGAAGTAATGTGGTGATCTAATTGAAATCCTGGACTATTTCAGTTAGTAGTTAGAGCTGTGTCCTATAGATGTCACTATATTTCCCTAAAAATTTTTAAATATCCCACATTGTCTCCTCAACACAGTGCTCCTCAGTGCACAATTTGGGAGCCATAGCCTTGTAAATTTCCAGTGCTCTGTAGAACAATCCCTATAAAAACTAGGCCATAGAACTACTATATACATATGTTTAACAGGTTAATAAATTAAAAATATTTTTTAAAATTTTTTATTGAATTCAGAAAGAGATAGAAACATCAATGATGAGACCTCCCCCACCCTCCCCCCCACCAAATGTCCCATACTGGAGATTGAGCCCACACAACCCAGGCACATGCCCTGACCAGGAATGGAACCCTGATCTCCTGGTTCATAGGTTGACACTCAACTCTGAGCCATGCCAGTATTAAAAATGCTCAACTCAATACTTGTGAAGAAATGGGGATGTTTTATACAACAAGGTACAATCTAACAATAGAAGATGGCCAGTTTAATAAGAACATTTTAAAAAATGTATTAGATCAATATTCTAAATCTTTTAAAATTAGAAATTAAAGAAGAACTTACCTAAATCAAAATCATACATACAATAGGTCATCAAAATGTCATGAAGCAAAATCAACCCTGGATTATCTTGGCCTTCATAAAACTTGTTTGTTCGATCTGTTCTGTTAACATCTTTTTCTGAGGAGGAAAATCACATCTATGAAAACCTTTTAAAAAACAGATTTTGATAAAGCTCACATCTTATAAGTACAGGATTATTTTTCTTGCTATTAACTTTACTCTATTGCCAAGCCTTTACTTAATGAAAATAATTGATCAGATTCCATTTCACATATACAATACAGTAGCATTTTGGAATCATTTTCAAAAATTAGCTTACCTATCCATGAGTATATTTTAAAATATTTTCCATATATATCTAAACACAGAAATCTTTTAATTGAGTAGGTAATATTTCCTAATAATTAAAAGCAACACTAGGTAGTAATTCACATTAGTTAGCAATAAAAATGCCAGTCATGATGCTTGTAATTAGGCAATATTATGTGAAAACAGCAATGAAAAAAGCTACTATGCAATCAAGCATAATCAAAGAGATTTGTCTCATTCATATTTGCTTCACTGATTATGAAAAGAAGCATCAATTTCTTTATCATGTTCCATAATCACCTTCAGGACAAATTACTTCCTTATTCTCATAGGTACATTATTCAGTCTATATATTAGTATAAGCAGTTTATTTTAATTTTGAAAAAAAATGAAAATCTACATTTTGCTGAAAATTATTTAATAGCTTTAAAAACAGATTTGGAAACATCACCACAGAGTATCCCAAACTATACTGACAATTCAATTCACGAACCTATTAAATGCATCTTGGGAAAGACTTTATAACTAAAAAGAGCATATCTCTAACCTAAATCCCTCAGGATATTAGAAATTTTTAAACTCAAAATGATAAATGTAATTTATAACCAATCCTCTTTAAAAGTTGTGAAGTAACGGGAGTGTATTATATAACAGTAAAATCTAACAATAGAAGATAATCAGTTTAGGTTCTGAAAGAACACTTTCAGAATGTATTAGATCCATATTCTAGCTTTGTTATAATATACGCCATAAAATTTAATAAAGGAAGTATATATCTATACAATTGTGGAATAAGAAATAGCAATAAAAGTGCTATAAACGTAAATTTTTATTTAAAAATGTCAAAATATTTCAGTCTCATATTAGTTGAAAAAAGAGGTACATAATAACTTTTTTTATTAACTTAAGCACAATTTACACAGCAATAATGCCAATACAGATGATCTGACTTAACAGGTATTTTAAACACAGTAAAATTATTTGTACCCTCAATATCTGTACTTTTTCTTCTTGTATATTTCTGTCAAGCAGAATACTTAAAAAAAAAAAAAAAGTATTTTATAAAGGAAGTATTTCTAGAAACTATTTCTAGAAAAACAATTATTACTTAAGGTTAAAAAAAAAAATCAACTCTCTGTCCAACTTGATGTAGCTAAAAAGACTGAAAAATACAACCATGCCAACTAATCCCATTTTACATTCACCATCACTAACCTTTCTTAACATTCTCTCTCCGATTGATTTAACAATTGTTAAATTCTCCTCTCTTCTCAAGCTTCCACCACATCCATATTTCTTCTCTGACCTCATTAGTTTCTATACTCCACCCAACGCACTCCAAAACCCAGGGATGGAACCAAGTCTAACACATGTTTCTTTCTGCTTGGATTGTCCTCCACCTAGGTATCTACATAGTTCACCAATCCCCCTTTTCAAGTTTCCACTCAAATATCACCTTTTCAAGAAGACGACCAAAAGACTCAACAGCAGGCTGCATGAGGGGCAACCAGGATGGCGGGGGGAGGGGCGCCTGGGTACAGTTGAGGGTGACCAGGCCAGTGAGAGGCTGAGGGGGGGAGGGGTGCAGTTGAGGGTGACCAGGCTGGCATGCAGAGGCATTGAGGGGAGATCAGGCCGATGGGGGAGGAGGCGAGGTGTTAGGGGCAACCAGGCAGGCAGGAAAGCAATTAGGAACCAGTGGTCCAGGATTATGAAAGGGATGATCCTGAGGGGTCCCAGACTGGAGAGGGTACAGCTGGGCCAAGGGGATCTACCCTTCCCCCCCTTGCACAAATTTCATGCACCAGGCCTCTAGTTTGGAAATAAGTCTAATTCTCTTAATGCAAAATTCTATCATTCATCTTTTTTTAGATTAACAGTTATTCAATTTGCAAAAATTTACCAGAATTAGCTATCTGGAGTCATTTAATGAATTAAAAAATAAAATATGTTCATACTAGAGGCCCAGTGCACAAATTTGTGCATAGGTAAGGTCCGGACCCCAATCGGGGTGGATAGGAACTGGGTCTGTTGGGAGGAGGAGATGGCAGAAGTTGGCTGGCTGGCCAGGCCCATCATGCATGATCAGGGCTGGGCCAGCTGGGGGAAGGGGCCGCGGGTGATTGCGCAGGGGTCCACACACCTAATTGGGGTTAGAGGGCGATTGGGGGTGGGACTGGCAATAGGGAAGGGCTGTGGGCAATGGGCCAGCCGGCCTCACCACCAAAGGGGATGAAGGGTGCAAATGGGACCAGCAGACTGGGGATAGGGCCATGGGTGGTTGGGTGACCGACCTTGCCCGATTGGGTGGGAGGCTGATCTGGAATGGGACCAGGTAGGGGGAGGGACTGCAGGAGGTTGACAGGCCAGCCCTGCCTCATATTGGGGTGGGGGCACCAACTGGGTGGGGTTGGCATGGGGGAGGAGCTGCCGGCCAATCAGGGTAGTGCGGACCCATTGGAAGCATGGCCAGCCAGGAGGAAGGGCTGCAGATTGGCTGGCCAGCCCCACTCCCTATTGGGGGGGGAGGGCGATCAGGGGTGGGTCAGACTGGGGGGAGGGGCTGCCAGCATATCATGGTGGGGCAAGCTGATCAGGGGCAGGGCTGGCCTGGGGGAAGGACAGCCAGCTCTTGATCTGGGTGGAAGAGTCTGATCAGGGGCAGGCCAGTAGGAAGGAGGGGCATCTAGGTTGGCCAGCTGGCCCCACCCCCCGCTCAGCCAGTTCACTGGCTACAGTGGGTGTCACAGAGACCAGTTGTTATGGCCATTACGGTCGCTAGCTTTTTATATATATATAGATCTTGAGGAGATCTGAAAGTATATAAACCAAAGCCTATTTAAACATAGTTATCTCTGGATGACAGAAACAAACTAATTCTAATTTTTTCTTTTCTCGTCTATAGTTTCTAATTTTTCATGATAAACAAACTATTTTTAAAATAAGACAATAATCTTAATGCAATTAATTCAACAATTTAAGTAGTTTTTACTATTTCACATTTTGAAATTAAAATACGTAATATACCTGTATTTATAAATATATTAACTTCATATAGCTATTTGAAGAGGAAAAACCAATAGTAAACTCTGCTGGGCTGGGTTGGCTAAGTAGTTGAGCGTCAATCTATGAACCAGGAGGTCAAGGTTTGATTCCTGGTCTGCGAACTTAATCCCCAATGGGGGTGTGTCGATCAATGATTCTCTCTCATCACTGATGTTTCTATAGTTCTCTCCCTCTCCCTTCCTCTATGAAATCAATAAAATATATTTTTTAAGAAAAATAGTAAGCACACACTCTAATGTACTCTTGAATTCTGACTTTTCTTTCCAGTCCCAATTTTATAACATATATTCAGTTCTAAAATCTAATCAAGATTTTAATGTAAACCTTTTTGTGCACTTTCAAAATTAAGAAAAAATTACCAATAAGACTTCTATAATCTCTTAACCTCAAATTTCTCTTCTCTTGTTCCTCGCTGACAGATTTCCACTGTAGTTTCATCCTGAAGTATTCATCACTATAGAAAACAATTTTACACCAAAAACAGCTTACTTTGAACATTTTATTTAAAAAATTTAATTGAGCTTTTCTACAAACAATTTATCTTAGCATTTATAATGCTAGTAAGATGCAAGTTATTAATGATACTGAAATGTTTAGTTATAAAACAAAGGAAAAATAAAACAACCTTATACATGTCATAAATTTTGCTTAAACTACTAGAATAATTTAGTTATAATTATAAGGAAACATTTACCTTAAACCTTAATATCATACCTAAAATTATTCCAGTCATTAAATATTTAACCATGAAAGTGTCTGAGTAATTACAAGTACAAATCTACAAACTTTTTAAATGTGACAAGTTTACTGCATAAACTTGTTAATGTAAAAATGTCTTAGGAAAACTGGCAAAAAAGTTGAAAAGAAAAGAATTGTTTAAGAGTTTGAATATGCACATTAATGATTAGGAGTGAGCTTTAAGTTAAAATCTAGACTAATGAATAAGAGTGCACCTGGAAAGTTGTTCTGTGTTTTTGTTTTTTTTGTTGTTGTTGTTGTTGTTTTCAAATCTAAGAGATTATTTAAAAATAGAAACACTCTTGCAAAAAAAGAAAAAAAGAAAGATCAATTTACATTACAAGAGCACAGAAAAATTAAAGATAATTAACCTAAATAGCAAATACACTTTTTATGAACTATTTTATAATCTCATAATAAATTACAAAAATAAATTAAGATAAATGAAATATTTTAAAATCCAAATCTAATTAGCTTTTTTTCAAGTATTCAAAATATTTGTACATAACTACAACGAGGTCCGTCTAACAATGTTTCTGGTTTGAAATAATTATGGCATTCATAATATATTTTTTTACTATTACAAAGCTTAATTAATAAAAGTTCACTATGAAAATGCATACAACCCAATTTTCCTATTATAGTAAAACAGGTGCTATGGAGAGGGGACATACTATAGAGGCAATTGATTTCTCTGGTGAACACAGCCATTCTTTATACTCTCCAAGGCTTTTAACATGATGATACTATTTCCTCGTATTATCATGTTCCCATATTGTTTTGTTGCCCACCAGTTGTCATCTTCACACATTCATCTATCACGAGATATATAAAAGGATCAAATTTCTACAATATCTGCCTTCATTTAATTTCAATGATAATTTCTTGTCCGTAAGTTTTGGGGTCTTTTTACTCAAGAGAGTAAATTTTGTTTATGGTGTCCTCTCAGTGAGCTCAAGGATACCTCCAAACACAATCTGTGGACTCCCTCATGCACCTGCACTGGTGGGTATAATCTTTAAATTAAAAGGATACAAATAAAATTACTTTCTCATATCCTACTCTAGATTTTCTAAATAGTTATCTAAAAACCCTTTACTGCCGAAACTGGTTTGGCTCTGTGGATAGAGTGTCGGTCTGCGGACTAAAAGGTTTCAGGTCAAGGGTATGTACCTTGGTTGAGGGCACATCCCCAGTAGGGGGTGTGCAAGAGGCAACTGGTCGATGTTTCTCACTCATTGACGTTTCTAGCTCTCTATCCCTCTCCCTTCCTCTCTGTGAAAAATCAATAAAAAACATTTTTTAAAAATGAAAAAAATAAAATAAATAAAAACCCTTTACTGCCCAGCCAGAGTGGATCAGTGGCCTGGCTGAGCATCAAACTATGAACCAGAAAGTCACTGATTGGTCAGGCACATGCCCAAGTTGCAGGCTGGATCCCCAATAGGGGGCACGTAGGAGGCAGCTGATCAATGATTCTCATGATTGATGTTTCTATCTCTCTCCCATCTCCTTTCCTCTCTAAAATCAATAAAGATATTTTTAAATAATAAATAAATAAATACCCTTTATTAATTTCCCATAGGTGAGTTACTTGAATTTATTTGATGAACATACAAAAGACAATTACTTACGTTTTTTGTTTTTGTAACTGAGTTCTTTCCTCCTTGGTACTGTCCCAAGGAAAGTAACCCAGAAGAAATTTCCATACTTGCTTTCTCAATGCATGACTGAGTCCCTGAAGAAAACATGCATATTAAACACATTCGTAAAAAAGAATGCAGTACTTTAGTTCATAAAACTTAGATTTAAATAATCAGAAAGACTAATATTTGAGAGTTTTAAACATAAAAATAGCTCAATTCAATAAATACTATCTTGTTTTTTACTTCTGCATTCTCAAGGTATAAACAGCTGCCAGAAAGTTTAAATAATGCAGAGTATATACAACAAGACTGCATAGCAGACAGTAAGGCTGCTTAGTCTTTCAAAACCAAATCATTACTGGATAACGCAACTACTACTGGGGAGTGTACATGTCTTCTTCACATAACCCATAACATCTGAAGTAAGGAAAAATATATTTCCCTAGGATTACTGGTATCCCATCTGACATCAGGAACATCACAAGCATGTAACTCTGTCCTGCAGCAGTTTTAAAGCATCATTCCTCAAAAAGGAATTCACACCCTCCCCCAAAAAATGAAGAAAATCTTGAACACAAGCAGTTTAAAATACAATCCATATGAAAGTATTTACCCCTCGAAATATCATCTGCTTCATATTATCTACATTTAAAATTCTTCCTTCGGAATCAATGTTCTTAGTCCATTCTTCCACTGTTACTGGCTCTCTCCTTTGAACAACAGGTCGTTCTCCTAAATCAATCTAAAATAAGATAACCAATAAAAAGTATACCTTTAACCAGTGAAATGAAATCACGGTATATAGAAACTTAAACTAAAATAGGATTACTCAGAAATGTTCTAACATTTTTAATATCTTTCCTTGTTTTCCAACATTTAGTTTATGAACTAAATAGTTAACATTCCATACATTTTCCCTCCTACTAAATATACAAATAATTGGGTTATAAATTCAGGATGGAAAAACATTTGCTATTTTGGGTTTCAATTACATAAGCGCAGAACAGTTAACATGTTAATTCCTATAAGAGACCCTTCACACTAAATAGTATGCTATATTATTTTTTTAAACCATAGTATTATTCCATTAATCATATTCTAAAATTAGTTTTTCTTCCAAACTAAAATTTGTAGCTCTCAGAACTGATTCATTAGCTCCACTTGGTATTTTCTACAGTTTTTAATTCAATTAACGGATGTTGGTAATTTTAAAATGCCATTTACAATATAAGCCCTTTAATTAAGTACCACAATTTAGATATTTATAATGTTCTAACTATGTATAGCCTAGCACTGTAACAAATTCAAAAGTATTGTTGAGTAGGTATGTAAAGATTGACCATAATTCAGGGCAAATTCCATTTTATTTTAAAAAGAAAAGATTCCCATGAAAATAAAAACCTTATAGTAGTAGTGTCCTGACTGCTGCCTCTGGAACAGAACTAAAAGCAACACTCTAGGGTCACTATTTATTCACTGCTATGCACTCGATGAAACCACCTGTTCATTATTATTAGAAGCAATCAGATCATTCCAGTAAGAAAAAGCAGCTTGCAACGCGGAATAGAGTTCAAACAGAAATGGAAGAAGCCTTTTGAAGACATCATCTATGTCTCTAAGGACAAAATTGCTACATCAAATGGGACTGTAACTTTATAATACAACTTGTGGCTTCCATATGGCGAAATTAAAAGAAAACTTCCGCCGGGACCGGTTTGGCTCAATGGATAGAGCGTCGGCTTGGGGACTGAAGGGTCCGGGTTCGATTCCGGTCAAGGGCATGTACCTTGGTTGCGGGCATATCCCCAGTAGGGGGTGTGCAAGAGGCAGCTGATCGATGACTCTCTCTCCTCGATGTTTCTAACTCTGTATCTCTCTCCCTTCCTCTCTGTAAAAAATCAATAAAATATATATATACACACACATATGTATATGTGTGTGTGTGTGTGTGTGTGTGTGTGTGTGTGTGTGTGTGTATATATATATATATATATATATATATATATATATATATATATATATATATATATAAAAGAAAACTTCCACAGTTTCCTGGGGGATCCAGTGGCCTTTGGAAGGAAGACAATGGCATTGGCTTTCCTCACTATGAACAATCCAAATACAAGGAATGACTTCTTGGGTGTTAACTTTCTTTCAGGATCTGATCTGAAAGCAATGAAAGTACTAGAAACCCCAGAAGATGGAGTGGCCTTATGTATGTTCATAAAAACACCTTAGTAAATTTAAGAAACTTCCTTTAAAAAGTGTCCCACTGTATCAAGGTTAAGCATGGTTGGAGGAGCAGAATTTATTACAGCATGTAATTTCAGATTAACTCTACGAAGAGTTAGATCATATTTGTTCACAAAAAGATGGATATAATACTCAGCTGAGGAAAAGCTGCCCGGTTGGCTGAAATTATCCACAGTAGACAAGCTCTCCAAATGTTAAGTGGGGCCCTCATATTGAATTCAAAACAAGCTTTGAACTTAGGAATGGCCAAAGTCTTCAAATGAAACTGAATATACAGCCGAAACCGGTTTGGCTCAGTGGATAGAGCGTCAGCCTGTGGACTGAAAGGTCCCAGGTTCGATTCCAGTTAAGGGCATGCACCTTGGTTGTGGGCACATCCCCAGTAGGAGGTGTGCAAGAGGCAGCTGATAGATGATTCTCTCTCATCGATGTTTCTAACTATCCCTCTCTCTTCCTCTCTGTAAAAAAATCAATAAAATATATTTAAAAAAGAAACTGAATATACAAAAGGGGCCCAAGTGGCTAAAGCAGTTTATGAAAGGACCACAAGAAGTCATTAATTAGAGCTTTGAAAAAAATCTGCTTCTCAGGCAAAGAAGTTTTATTTCCAAGAGGCAAAAGATCTTTTAGGGACACTTTGGGATGTACCCATAAATTTAGAGGCTTTTGCTAGAAAAGGAAAATTTTGTAAATAGTTACAATTCTAAAGATTCATATGTAGAAAAGTTAAATGTTACTAAATATGAATGTCAGAATTACTTTGCAGGGTACTAGTACTAGTACCTTTATTTGGGTTTGTTTTTAAAAAATATTTTGAATACCAAAACTCACTGGCATAGTTTCCAGTATATAATATTCCCTCCCTTTTCTGTAGGGAACAGTTTCCATGATTCCAGTGGATGCCTGAAATCGTAGATAGTACTGAACCCCATATATACTATTTCTTCCTTTACTTACATATCAATGATAAAGTTTAATTTATAAATTAGTTGCAGTTAAGAGATTAACAACAATAACTAATAACACAATTATAACAGTAAAGAAAAAGTAACCAAAGAAAAGAGATCCAATATTAATGAACAGAAAGAATATGGAGCAATCAATGAACAACAATTTGGTGGCAAGATAAGTGTTAGTTGTTAAATATGTTAGCAGAAAGTTACAAGAAAAGATTATGAGAAAGAGGCAGATATAACTAAAATCGAGTTTCTATTTATATAGCATTTATACGTTTCAAAACATTCCTCCTGATAAAATATAAGAGCTATATTAATATAAATCTCCACTCACTCTTGTGATGACTTCAAATCCCGGTTCTTCTTGTTGATTTATCTTTAAACCTGGAATAGCATCACTAAGAAAATCTGCCATTTCTGAAGGTGGTCGCTGATGTGTAGAGGGATCGCTGCCTCTCAAACTATCAAAAATGTAGTTTGTAACTTTGGAAAATCCTACCATGGTTGCTGTATAAGGATCCTTTTTAATTTTCTATGTAGTAAAAAGAAAAATATTAGCATTAATTCAAATGAAAAATAAAAATACCCCATGATGGGAAATCAGCACTAAAACAGAGTGGTCTAAGATTATCTTAAAATATTTTTTCTAAGGAGAAAAAATTTATTTTCTAAGCCAATCTTTTCATTTGATTAAAACAATATATTAAATGGGAAATTAATGCTACTGATTGAATTACAGGCAAACAATGATTTGCAGGCTTCATTCAATCTGCACATCAGAAACATATGCAGTGCTTACTTTCCATTGGTGAGTGGCCCACAACAGCTTTCTTCTGTCTAGCAGTCCTGCCTTCACAAAAGAACATTATTTCTTGAAGCGTGCAGTACCACACTAGCCTAACACAAAATATTTGGTAGCTAAGTTTAAAAGCTCACATACTTAAATATTCGCTGATATTTTAATCTAACTATATGGTTAGTAAATCATGCCAAGAAAAATAATTAGTTCTGGGCAGTACTGTGCCTGAAAACAGCAAAAGTTTTTTCTACTGCTAGGGTTACTTCTAAATCTCAAAATGCCCAATTATTCATAGTTAGCAAAAAAAAAAAAATGTTACTTCTTTCAAGTCAATCTTTATTGATTATTTAATCACAATAAGAAAATACATTCTCTCACTTTTTTTTAAAATCCTCACCTGAGGATATGTTTTAATTGATTTTTAGAGAGGATAGGGAAAAGAAAAAGAGAAACACTGATGTAAGAAACATTGTTTGGTTGACTCCCCATATCCTAAACAACCTAGTTATATGTCCTGAAAACCAACCTGCAACCTTTTGATTTACAATACGACGCTCCAACCAACTATGCCACCTGGCCAGGGCCCTCTCTTTTTATTTTAATCAGTGGTTAGCTCTCTTGACTTCCTTACTTACCTTGTTTAACTTCAGAACCAAGAAAAGCCCTGGCCCGATAGCTCAGTTGGTTAGAGCATCTTCCCTACACAACAAGGTTATAGATTTGATCCCTGGCCGGGGCACATATAAAAATCAAATGATAAACATAGATGCCAAAATCCTCAACAAAATTCTAGCAAACCGACTCCAGAAGAACATCACAAAGATCATACATACACTATGACCAAGCAGGAATGCAAGGATGGTACAATATCCACAAATCAATAAACGTGATACATCACATAAACAAATTGAAAGATAAAAATCATATAGTCATATCAATTGATGCAGAAAAAGCATTTGATAAAATCCAACACCCTTTCCTGATAAAAACTCTTAACAAGGTGGGAGTACAAGGATCATACCTCAACATAATAAAAGCTATATATGATAAACCCACAGCCAACATTATACTCAATGGGCAAAAACTAAAACCATTCCCTCTAAGAACAGGAACAAGACAGGGATGCCCACTCTCGCCAATCCTGTTTGACATAGTACTGGAAGTACTAGCCATTGCAATTAGACAAGAAGAGGAAATAAAAGGCATCCAAATTGGAAAAGAAGTAGTAAAGTTAACCTTATTTGCAGATGACATGATATTGTACGTAAAAAAACCAAAAGATTCCATTAAAAAACTAATTGACTTAATAAATGAATTTGGCAATGTAGCAGGATACAAAATTAATGCCAAGAAATCCATGGCATTTCTATACACCAACAGTGAAACTACAGAAACAGAGACTAAAAAAGCAACTCCATTTACCATCGCACTAAAAAAATTAAGATACCTAGGAATAAATTTAACTAAGGAAGTAAAGCACCTATATGCGGAAAACTACACGACACTGAAAAAAGAGATAGAGGAAGATATAAGAGGATGTTCATGGATTGATAGAATCAACATCATCAAAATGTCCATACTTCCTAAAGCAATCTATATGTTCAATGCACTCCCCATTAAAATACCAATGATATATTTCAATGACCTAGAAAGAACTCTCCAAAAGTTCATTTGGAACAATAAAAGACCCCGAATAGCCACAGCAATCCTGAGAAAGAAGAGTAAAGTAGGAGGGATCTCAATACCAGACTTCAAACTATATTACAAAGCCACTGTACTCAAAACAGCCTGGTACTGGCACAAGAACAGACATATAGATCAATGGAATAGAATCGAGAACCCAGATATCAACCCAAATCACTATGCTCAATATTTGACAAAGGAGGCATGAATATACACTGGAGTCAAGACAGTTTCTTCAATAAATGGTGTTCGGAAAATTGGACAGACACATGCAAAAGAATGAAACTAGATCACCAACTTACACCATTCACAAAAATAAACTCAAAATGGATACAGGACTTAAACATCAGACGGGAAACCATAAAAATACTAGAAGCATCCACAGGCAGCAAAATCTCAGAAGTATGCCAAAAGAACTTCTTCACTGATACTGCCCCTAGGGCAGTGGAAGCTAAAGAGAAAATAAACAAATGGGACTACATCAAAATAAAAAGCATTTTTACAGCAAAAGAAACCATCAACAAAACAACAAGAAAGCCCACCATGTGGGAGAACATATTTGCAAATGATACCACTGATAAAGGTTTAATCTCCAACATTTACAGACAGCTTATACAACTAAATAAAAGGAAGATGAATGATCCAATTAAGAAATGGGCAACGGACCTAAATAGAATATTTTCAAAAGAAGACAGAAGAAAGGCCAAAAGGCACATGAAAACATGCTCAAAGTCACTAATTGTCAGAGAGGTGCAAATCAAAACAACAATGCGGTACCATCTCACACCTGTCAGAATGGCCAACATCAACAAATCAACAAACGACAAGTGTTGGCGAGGTTGCGGAGAAAAAGGAACCCTCGTGCACTGCTGGTGGGAATGTAGACTGGTGCAACCACTGTGGAGATCAGTGTGGAGTTTCCTCAAAAAACTGAAAATGGAACTCCCATTTGACCCAGTAATCCCACTCCTAGGAATATATCCCAAGAAACTAGAAACACCAATCAGAAAAGATATATGCACCCCTATGTTCATAGCAGCACAATCTACAATAACCAGAATTTGGAAACAGCCTAGGTGCCCATCAGCAGATGATTGGATCCAAAAACTGTGGTACATTTACACAATGGAATACTATGCTGCCATAAAAAAGGAATTCTCACCATTTGCAGCAACCTGGATGGAATTGGAGAACATCATGCTGAGTGAAATAAGCCAGTCAATGAAAGAGAGACACCACATGACCTCACTCATTTGTGGATGATAAAGAACATTATAAACTGATGAACCAAGAGACAGATATAGAGACAGTAAAGCAACAGGCAGACTGTCAAATTACAGTGGGGAGGGGAGGAAGATCTGGGGGAGATAGTAGATCAACCGAAGGACTTGTGTACATGCATATAAGTACAACTAATGGACATAAAACTCTGGGGAGGGAGGGTATGTATGGGAGGGAGGGAAGGGGGGCAAAAAATATCAATAAAATATATATTTTTTTAAATCAAATGATAAATGCACAAATAAGTGTAACAACAAATTGATGTTGCATTCTCCCTCCGTCCCTCTCTCTCACTCTCTCTCTCTCTCCCCGTCTCTCTCTCCATCTTCCTTTCCCTCTCCCTCTTCTTCTTCCTCTCTCTCCTTTTCTCTCTTTCTAAAATCAATTAAAAAAATAAATTAAAAAAAAAAACAAGAGAATATTCGGGACAGAGTAAGCACTCAAACATTTGTTGAATGAGTAAATGAATGAACAAACAACCATTTCATTAGTTTACATACAAATCTGAGTGAAAAATAGACTAACTTTATTGTGTCAAGTGCACATTTTTAGCCAAATGCAAGAATATACTCAAATATTTTAAGAGGAATTAGAACCTACTTAAATAGAAAATAAAAATTCAAACTAGATCTTTGCTTAAGTTTGTCATTAATGAATTCAAAATAGCTTACAAAATATTTCACTTAATCAATGAAAGCTATTTCAGTAATATGATAAAGGGGAAAAATGCTTTGAGAGTAAGAACCAAAGAAGCTTCTAACAATATAAAACATACTATTATTTCTATAAAATTACAGCGAACAGTTTTATAAAGTTTACATAGAGATATTTACCTCATTCTGTGTAATCAAGAAAGTTGAGAGGTAGGGGGTATATAAAATTATGGAAATAGATTAACAGATTAATAATACAGACAGATTTAAGAAACCTACTTGTATTAAACCATATGTTGGTTCATCAAGAAGATTTTCAAAGGATTGTGAAAGACTCTTATTCGGACAATTCACAAGAAGTATTCTTTTATCGTGTGGAGCTCTGTAATAAAAAGAAGGGATGTGTTGAAAATGCTAGCATAATGCATCAATTACTACCTGAATAACTTTAGTGCAATTACTTTTCCTTAACAACAACGAAAAACTTAAATGTCCAGTTTTAGAATTGTTTTCCATTAATATAATATTAACAAGTACTTAGAACTACCTTTAGTTCCAAAACTACATGAAATATTAAATTAGCAAATATAAAAGGGTAGAAGTATATTTTTCTTCTAAGTAAAACCAGGAGGACTAATTATAGTGAACCCAAATTCTGGTTTAGAATTATAGCAGAAAACCTTAAAAATATAGCTTCCTTTATATTATCAAAACTAAAGTAAGACAAAACACACTCTAGAATTCATCAGTATATATACTATTATACTCTCTAGGAAAATGTCCCATTTTGAAATGGTTTCCAATTTCATTCTAAAGTTCAGTAGTATTGCATATAAGATGTTAAAAATATAAGATAGAGTCCGGCTGGTGTTGCTGTGTAGTTGAGCATCCACCAATGAACCAAGAGGTCATGGTTCAATTCCCTGTTAGGGCACATGCCTGAGTTGCATGCTCAATCCCCATAAGGGGCATGCAGTAGGCAGCCAATCAATGATTCCTATCACTGATGTTTCTATCTCTCTCCCCCTCTTTCTTTCTCTCTCTGAAATCAGTAAAGCCTATTTAAAAATATAAATGGGAAGATTATCTGTTAAAGATCATTATTTATGCTTACCATAATTATTAACACACGCAAACATATTTAACAAGGTTATATAATTACAGTTCAGGCAATATTTTTTTAGTTCTTGCTTATTAAGCTCTGGACACTAGTTTTTCTTTGTATTTCTGCAGAGCTACAGAACAAATAAAATACATTCCAAGCAGACATCTAATTTCAGGTAATCAGATGAATTATCCACTTTTTTCTATTCAAGTAAGTTTGATAACTCAGTAAGTCAACTGTAATGAATCCACAACTTTTGTGTTTAAAATAAAAATTAATGTATTATTTTGCTACTATCTATTTATAGTTTATTATAAATGTTTGAGATAAGAACTTTAATAACAGTTATCTCTTCTCAATTCTAACATAACAGAATGCAACAGCAATGCTAAGGGGAATATGAAATCCAAAACAGGATCTTATTCTTACATACTCAGAAACAGCACTCAATCTTCAGAGCCAATAGGAGCTTAGTAAGCCCTCTGGCTTTTTAAAAGTAGCTGGTTGAGTCATTTGCAGTAGAAAAAATTTTTAATGTTCAATTTTTATTAAACACCATCTTTCTGAGCACTTTTTGGGGTCATGTTTAATATGAAGACCTACAGTACAGGTTCTCGCATAGTATTTTCAAATAATAGGTCAACTTTTAAATGTAGCACCAGAACAAGAAATTAACATAGAAACATACTTTTTCCTACCACAGTGCTGCTGGTGCAGCGGTTATTATTTTGTTTCTAACAATAATTAAGTCAAATTATTTCTCTAAAATCCAAATAAAAATTGGTCATTAAAGTCAAAACTCTGGTTATGCATGTAGAAGAGGAACAAATATACAACCTTCAACTATCTGAACTCAGATCATTGTGGCTACAGCTAAAACTTTAGTCAGTAAACTGTAGATGGGAAGAAGAAATGATTGCCTAATGAACAAGCAACCACAGTTACTTTGTAAAAAGGAATGATTTCATTTTTTATAGCCAATGTTCTGTGATGAGGGGCTGGAGAGAGCTCTAGGAGGAAAGATATAAGAAATTTAAGACTTAGTTGCCCCTAAAAAAAAAAAAAAAAAAAAAAAAAAAAAAAATTTTTAAAGTGCATCAGCCAAAAGACAAGTGGTATACTGTTAGGCAATTACAGAGTATTGGAATTCCAGTATATTGCTACCTTTCCACAATAGTTACAAACTCCATGAAGGCAGGGGTCATATCTTTTCTGATTATTGTTCTTTCCAGCACCTGACTCAGTTCCTCAAAAAAAAAAAAAAAAAAAGAGGGAGAAAGAAGAACACCGTTCCCTCGGTTTCATGTTCCCAAATGGAAATAAGAACTTGTTCTAAAGAAATTCTCCTTCACAGGGACACAACTGATTGCTGAAATCAGGAAAGAAAAATGTTCATGTTTGTCATAATCCCATCCCAGCTCTCTCCTGTTCCTGGATCAGGCTGCCAACAGAGAAAGCAGTTTCTAGTCTGCTCTCATTCACACATCATAAGTGATCTGTCCTGAGGGAGACCTGCAGTTATCTAAAAATGGCAAAAACTGGCCAAAGCCAGTTTGGCTCAGTGGTAGAGCGTCCGTCTGCGGACTGAAAGGTCCCAGGTTCGATTCCGGTCAAGGGCACGTACATTGGTTGCGGGCACATCCCCAGTAGGGGGTGTGCAAGAGGCAGCTGGTCGATGTTTCTCTCTCATCGATGTTTCTAGCTTTCTATCTCTCTCCCTTCCTCTCTGTAAAAAATCAATAAAATATATTTTAAAAAAATAAAATAAATAAAAATGGCAAAAACTGGGTACCTTCTAAACTAATTTGGGGTGAATTATTATGATGCTGCATATCTAAACTTCACTGATAATGGTGATATTTTTATCAGCAACTGTCTGATTCTTATATTTACTACTCAGTAATTTACAAATGCAGGAAAGAAAACAACAGTTCACTAACATCACTCATTAAAATATCCCTCCTTAAAATGTGCATCACACATTCAAGCTACACATTCCCTAATAATGTGACTAGAGCCCGGTGCATGAAATTCGTGCATGGAGAGGGGCAGGGCAGTCCCTCAGCCAGGCCTGCACCCTCTCGCAATCCAGGACCGCTGGCTCATAACTGCTCACTTGTATGCCTGCCTGATTGCTCCTAACCACTCACCTGCCTGCCTAATTGCCCCTAACAGCTTGCCCACCTGCCTGATCGCCCCTAAACACTCTGCCTGTCTGCCTCATCGCCCCTAAATGCTCACCTGTCTGCCTGATCATCCCTAACCATTCCCCTGCCTGCCTGATCACCCCTAATCGCCTCTGCCTTGGCCCATATGGCTTTGTCCAGAATGACATCCAGAGGGTCATTCAGCTGTCCAACCTAATTAGCATATTATGCTTTTATTTATTATAGACAGATTGCTGAAGACATCCATTTCCCATCCAGGATAGAAAACGCTCTATACTGTTGGTCCCAGAGACTCTAAGTCGGATGTTAGTTGCCCAGTCACGCCAGGTTACCCACTTAGGCATCATCAAGACTTCTGAACTTCTGTGAGGCAGATACTAGGAAGCTTAAGTAAGGTAAAAGCATAGTCACTAGAAGTACTGTCTGTGTAGAGGTAAATGCTAAGCAAGAATAGAGGGACCCCCTGGGAATTCGGGCCCCAAGGAAATTCCCTAGGAGAGCATTAGAAGGTTGGTTTCACAGAGATTAAGCCACCAACATTAAGGTATAAGTACATGCTAGTTTTTATAGACACCTTCCCAGATTAGGTTGAAGCATAGAACAGAAACTGCCTCTATAGTAGTCAAGAAATTACTCCGGGAAATTATACCTAGATTCGCGCTGCTAGTAGTCATAGGATCAGATGACAGCCCAGTCTTTGTAGCAAGGTATTGGGTCTAGTACTAATTAATGTCGTTTTTAAACATTCGTTTAAAATCTTGCTTGGCGTTGACTTGTATTGACATAACCTTCAAACACGTGGTATCTACAGAATGTGTGAAGTGCAATTAACAAGTTTTGCTTGAAAAAGTGTGTGTTTGGTTTGGTTTTTGTTGCAAAACTAGGGCTAAGAAGATGGCGGATGAAGAGCATATTCGGCACTGCATGCTTTCCGAGTTCCAATTAGGAAGAAAAGCAAGTGAGGCTGCAAAAAACATCTGTAGTGCTCTTGGTCAAGATGCAGTTAGCGCCAGAAAATGCCAGCGTTGGTTTGAGAAATTTCGCGAGGGAAAATTTTCGTTAGATGACAAGAGTGGTCGAGGCCGTGTGTCCAATTTTGATAAAGAAGCTCTTCAAGCTCTTTTGGTGCAAAATCCTCAAATTACCCAACAAGAGCTTGCGACAACTTTAAATTGTTCACAAAAAACAATTTCCAATCAATTGCGTGCACTTGGCAAAGTCCAAAAGTTTGGAAAATGGGTTCCTCATGAGTTGACCGACAACAACTGTAATCAAAGAGTCACAATTTGCAGTTCGCTCCTCTCTCGTCAAAACCGTTTGCCGTTTTTAGAGCAAATTGTTACCAGAGATGAAAAATGGGTGCTGTATGTTAATTTGAAAAGGCGGCCTCAATGGTTGGACAAAAATGAGGCTCCGCAGCCCACGCCAAAACCTAACTTGCATGCGAAAAAAGTGATGTTGTGCATTTGGTGGAATTCTTCATTATGAACTTTTACCATCTAACCAAACCATTACAAGTGCAGTGTATAGTGCCCAATTGGAAAGGTTAGCCCAAGCTTTAAGAGAAAAAGAACCCGCGCTGAAGAAGGGCGTAATTCTTCACCACGATAACGCACGACCGCATACTGCAAGAATCACTGCTGAAAAACTGCGCCAGTTGGAATGGGAAGTTCTCCCTCAACCTGCATATTCTCCTGATATTGCCCCTTCCGATTACCATTTGTTTCGTTCTTTGCAAAACTTTCTTCTTGGAAAAAAATTTAATAATGAAGAATGCCTCAAAAATGCATTGAACGAATTTTTTGCATCAAAATCACAAGAATTTTACAACAGAGGGATTAAAATGCTTCCTGAGCGTTGGGCACAAGTAGTAGAAAACAACGGCAACTATATTGTTGATTAAATTTTGTTGCATTGTTTAAATAAATTCGATTTTAAAAAAGTATTAGAAAACGACATTAATTATTACTAGACCTAATATCTCAAAGTATAGCTCAAGCCTTAGGACAGGCATGAGTGGAACTCTAAAAAGTTTAATTAAATTTGTAGAAAACAACGGCAACTATATTGTTGATTAAATTTTGTTGCATTGTTTAAATAAATTCGATTTTTAAAAAAAGTATTAGAAAACGACATTAATTATTACTAGACCTAATATCTCAAAGTATAGCTCAAGCCTTAGGACAGGCATGAGTGGAACTCTAAAAAGTTTAATTAAATTTGTCCTGAAAACCGGTGAAAATTGGACCAACCCCCTGCCCTTCACCCTCTTATGGGCCAGGTGTACCCTCTAACGGGAGAGGTTTCCCCCGCCTTTTTGAGATCATGTATGGTAGACCTCCCTCCATCCTTCCTGGGGTCAGGGAGAAACTGAAAGCTAGAATTCATAACCATTCCCTTGCTCAAGTCCTTACAGGCTCTGCAATTTACCCAGAAGCCATGCATAAGCTTGTTCCAGATGCACTGCCAGTGCCCCCGCGGACCTTGTACATCCCTTCCAGACCGGAGACTCAGTGTGGGTAAAGAAGTTCACTATCCAAAGACTCGCCCCAACCTGAAAGGGAGCTACACTGTTATCCTGAGCACGCCCACGGCGGTTGAAGTAGACGGCACCCAGACCTGGCTACACCACTCCCAGCTCCTGCACAGAAAACAACCTGGATCCTGGCAACCAGCAGCCTCACCCGTGAGATCTCTAGCCTGGCCTCCACACAGGAGGAGACTTGATGCCAGGAGGGGAATTGGACTTCAGTGAGGACAGTACTAATGGGAACTGTGGTACTAGAGGTTTTGGTAACTGAAAAAACATTTTTGCTAACCAGTGAGAAAGTCCGGGGCTAAGTAAGGCTAAATGTGCTAGGGGACTGGAGAGCAAGGAAGTAGGATGAGTCAATGATTTGACTCATGTACATAAAAACCAGTGGGGAATGAAATATGATAGCAATCATACTTGGGTAAAAACTGCTGTTTGAATTTTAACCTTGCTATCTGACTTCGACCTTCGATTACTTGCTTAAACAATAGGGTAGTTACAGGAGATTGACTCCCACTGACTCAGTAGCTTTAGGGGTAGAAACTATAGATAACCTTTAGTTCTGCTTTTGTATTATGGGCAAGATAGGGCCACATTCCAATGTTCAGCAGGGTGTGACTGGGAACCAACCCTGCTGGCTGTCCCCAGTCTTTAGAATTTAGTCTTTAGGATTTAGGAACAGATATGGACAGCCAGTCATTTGTCCTGAGGGGCCAATCAGGATTAGCCGAGGCAGTGACATCACCACCGACCTGAGTAAAACCCCTGGACTTGGCGAAATTCGCTCTCTTCCGCCATGCTGCCGGCATGAGTGGGACAGCCCATGCTAGCATGGAAAAGGCTCTTTTGTTTATTGCATCTGACTCGGCTCCCTGGTGGTCCTTGGGGATCATGAATTCGTCTGGGATCCCCAGCCAGGACCATGAGGAATCTCAATCCGAAGAGCCTGACTGGCCACAGTAGGTGTGTGTTTGTCTGTGTTTTTGTGTGAGCACTCTGGAGGGACTGCCCCTCCATCGGGGTTCTCACCTGGGTGTTTGCCGGCTGCTGCGTCAGCCAAGGTTTGAGCCCGGATTCGAATCTGTAATAAATTCTAGCATGCTTAATCAAAAAAAAAAAAAAAAAAAAAAAGCTGTATATCTTAAACTAAAATCTGTTTCCTTCTATTTTCTCTTTGGAGTCATACAAAACAAATGTACAATTTATTTCTTTTAATATCCCTTTCAACATTACTTATAAAATTAAAAGTATCATACCATTTATTAATTTAACTAAGATTAATTGTGCAATATATGCTATGCCCTGTGGCTAGGAACTCAGGAGACAATACAAACAAAATATAAGTAATCCCTGCCTATCTATACGGGCTTACATTCTAGAGCAGAACATTAAAAATTAGACAAAGTGATTTTATTCTGTTAAGAGCCATGAATGAAGCAAACAAGAGAATGAGACAGTGAAAAGGAATGGACATGGGAATCTACATTATATGGGAGACAGGAGCATCCAGAGAAGCTCTTCTGAGGAAGTGCCATTAAACTAATATCATGAGGATCAGAAAGGAAAAAATATATCCCACATAAAAGAAATAGGATACATATGGAGACCCTAAGACAAGAAAGCATTTACAGTGTTTTAGAACCTGAAAGAAAATCATGTGGCTAGACTACAGAAGAGAACAGTGTGAGATAAGGTTTAAGAGATAAACAGAGCCGAAACCAGTTTGGCTCAGTGGATGGAGCAGAAACCAGTTTGGCTCAGTGGATGGAGCGTCAGCCTTTGGACTGAGAGGTCCCAGGTTCGATTCCGGTCAAGGGCATATACCTTGGTTGCGGGCACATCCCCAGTGGGGGGTGTGCAAGGGGCAGCTGATCGATGATTCTCATCGATGTTTCTAACTCTCTATCCCTATCTCTTCCTCTCTGTAAAAAATCAATAAAATATATTTTTTTTTTAAAGAGAGAGAGATAAACAGAGCTAAGATAGGGCAGGTCCTCTTTGACCATAGTAAGAAGTCTGGATTTATTTAATGTTACATCAAAATTCCTCTTCTTCAAGTTAATGTTTTTGATTATATCATTTTTATCCTTTTTATTACACGTCATCTTTTCCATGTAGAATAGTTAGTCTAACACATTTAAAATTAAGCCCAGTTCTCCAAAGTATGAACTCACCAGTAGAGAGGTTCTACCAAGGTGAACCCTTGGTACTATGCTTTAATCAAGTCCCAGATCAAATGAGCTATTTTGTTAGTGTTACATCACAACACTGATTAATGAGCTTGCTTGCTCAAAAGTAAAACCCAAGTCTTTAACACATGCTATTCAGATGGCCAAACCTTCTGCCCCAATCATGACAATGACTCACCTAAAATCTACTTAATCTCCTGTATGGTTGCCTAGTCTTGAAGATCCAGGCCCAAATATACCAACCAGGCCTACCTTTCTTATAATTACTGGTAATGATCAGCATATCTAATGCCAGCCAGGAATGATCAACATGATAGGGGAGAAAATTTCATTCCAGAAAATACATAGTATCTTCCAACTATGGATCACTCTTAGCTTTATATAAACTAAATTTAGGAAGGACATTTTCTATTTTCTATTCTAAAGTGAGGACATCATTCATTAAGTTTACAATCATCCCTACAGTTCCCCAAGCTGAAAATCGCAACTTCTCCCTTCTCACATCCACATATCCAATCAATCACAAACTCTAATACTTGTATCTTCCCTGTCACTCTCCCATTTCACGCCACTATAATTTCATCTAGATGACTAGAACAACTTGCTAACATGATTTACAAGATCCTTCATGCTTTGGCCTTTACCCAGCTCTTTGGCTTCATCTTTATATTTAGTAACCTCCCTTTACCCACTATTCAGACCTGTGATATTGAATTACTTCTGTTCTGCGATTATATCATGTTTTACATCCTTTCTCTATCTAAAATATATCTGTTTTTAAATCAACCTTCCCTTTCATGCTAATGTTCACTCGTCAGGTCTTAGATGTCACTTCCTCAGAAAGTATTCTTGAGCCCTACCCAACCTGCAATCTGAATGAGGAACTCTTCCTCTCTTCCTGAGAGCTCCCAAAACACCTTATACATACATCCTTCATCTTAGTTCTTGATTTTATTGCCACTTATTGGTCGTCATCCTTCATGAGACCATAAACTCTCAGATATCAAGAAATGTGCCTGTTTTATTCTCTACTAAATATCAAACAACTAGGACAGTGTTCAGAACATAATTGGTACCCAAAATATATTTGATGAGAGCAAGAAAGAATATGTGTGTACAAAGGCACATAGGTGAATAAATATAAGATATAAGATTTTTGAAAAATGATTATAATCCTATATAATAAAAGCCTGCCAAGGGTCTGGTCATCCAGTCAACCAATCAAAGCATAATATGCTAATTATATGCTAAGGTCAATCAACCACTGGCTATGACATGCACTGACCACCAGGAGGCAGTTGACCGATCAACAAGTCTCTCTGATGTGCACTGACCACCAGGGGGCAGATGCTCCAACAGGTAGGTTAGCTTGCTGCTGGGGTACAGCCAAGTGAGATTGAGGGAGATGGATCGGACACACCTTAGAGCCTTCCCACAGTCCCTCCCAGACTGGCTAGCGTTTCATGTCCCTCCCCAACCCTGATCATGCACCAGTGGGATACCTCAGCCTGACCTGCTCCCTCTCGCAATCCGGAACCCCTCGGGGGATGTCAGAAAGCCGGTTTCAGCTTTATCCCATTCAACCCAGGAACTTCCCCCTGGTGGTCAGTGCACTCCCACTGGAAAAGTGCCGCTTAGCCAGAAGCTGGACTCAGAGCTGGCAAGCGCAGTGGTGGTGGTGGGAGCCTCTCCTGCCTCCATGGCAGCGCTAAGGACCCCTTGGGGAATGTCCACCTGCCAGCAGGGAGCAAGCCTAAGCCAGTAAGCAGACATCCCCAGAGGGGTGACGGACTGTGAGAGGACGCAGACCGGGCTGAAGGGAATCCCAACCCCACTGCACGAATTTCCTGAACAGAGCCTCTAGTAATTTTATAAAGGCTTAGACTTACCTAACTTAAATTTGCAATATTACAAATAAAACTCTACATACCTAAAAAAAAAAAAAAAACAACTACATAATAAAAGGTAAATTTGGTAAATATATAATCCATAAGCTACTAATGTATCTTCACTTAAATGTGTATAAAAATATCAGACCACTCTTGAAAACAGTGACATGATAATAGGTTTCAGATCCAAATTATTAAAATGGAAAAATGTTATTCAAATAAATAGCTGGAAAATAAAAAGCTGCTTGTGCCCTGGTACACACATAGGTCACTGATACCCACTGTCAAGTGAAAATAGTTTGCCTTGAGTCCAATACAACAATCCAATTTCAATAAGTAGAAAATAATTGATACTTACTCACACAATACCACATATTTTTCAAGAGAGTCAATCAGTAGTTTGCTATCACCTTGATGAAAGTGCAGAGCAGGAAGAACGACGTCATCCTTTAGACAGAATACCAAATACGACCAGCCCATACCCTCTTTGTTTTGCTTGATTGATTTCAGGTCTGTCAAACTGAACAGGAATGACCATTTGCTTTTCCCATTTCTTTGACTTGGAGTATCTTAAAAACAAGAGAATGGGGCAAAATATAATTATCCTATTGCACACAAATTAAAAAGGTTATCCTCATTTAAATATAAGCTTTGCCCAAAATGAACATGACTCTGGAGGCTGGTTGGCGGATTCAAATTACAATACCACAATCTTACTAAGCAAATGATTTGGAGCAAATAACTGAAATTTTTTTAGCCTATTTAATTATCGGTGAAATGGAGATAATTATACTTACCTCACAATGTTATTCTAAGAATTAAAAGAGATAAATATCTGTCAACTAATTAGGTACAGTGCAAAGTATGCAAAAAATACTCAATAAATGTTAATATTTTCTACTCCCCCAAATATGAATGATGCTGCTCATGGACAATCATTTAAAACAAAAACAAACCTTTATTCCCATCACTTCCATTGAAATTATTTTTATTAGACTACACTGAATGAAGATAAGTATACCAGTATAAAAAAAAATACTTGGGTGAATAGCCAGACTATTATTTGGGGGTGGGGGGAGGGCGGCAAAAACCCAAAGAACAGTGGGGAATTAAGGGTGAAAATATAACTAAGTTGTGAATGCTTCCAAGAGAATTAATACATTTAATCTTCCTGCTAAATCAATCTTATATTAAGACCTCATTTCAGATCAAACTATAGTTATATTTGAAATAAAACATTTTCTGAGTTTGTGGGCTGTTTACTGAAGCTTTAAATCCTAAGTTTGTGAACAATATCATAATTGATAAAAGGCAACTTAAAGATTATCCATTTAAATAAAAATTTACAGAACAAGGAAAATGTTGTTTCTTCTCATTAATGTACAAAATTAGTTCCTAATCTAGTTATAATTTCAAATCATTTTATTTTAACATGTTAACTCATGCATAAGATGTCATATTCCTAAAATTTTTAAAAACATTATACCTAATGTTCTTTCCTAAGAAGTGTCATAATGTTATTCAAGGTCTTCATTAATTCCATCCCACACCATCAATTGTACAAGGATAAATATAAACAGCATAGATGATTTACCTTATAGGACCTGATCAAAGGATAGATCTATTGCTGTTGACCAGCATGTATATCATTCTTATACAGTCAGGAACACAATAGTTCCATCAACTTCAAAAAGATCTACATTGACACAAAGAAATCTACAGCTTACAGAAATTACTACCTGCAAGGAATGCAGGCACCATTCCTATTTCATGGGCACTTTAGCAAGTATCATTTCAGAGGAAGCCCAGAAAGGCTCAAGTAACACACCAGTTCAAATGATAAACTCATATTTAAGACAGGCACTAGATTGACATGTGCCCACTTGGATGCTAAATAACATGTTTTACTAGAATTTATATTATAGACCTTATAACATTACTACAATTCCAATGTCTTCATGAATCATTTAAGTGTGAATATACACTTAGACTACCTATTATTATATTATCTGCAAAGAACAAAAATGTTTTCACAGCAAAAGAGCAATGGGAAAACTAGATATAAAGAATTATTTAAATGAAATTCTTAAGTTACACAAAAAGTATTTAACCCAAATTAATGTAAGAAAATCATGTGGAGAATATAAAATAATATATGTAGGTTATATGAATCATCAGGAGTTTGTGCATATTCAAAACTAAAAATTTTCCAGATTTTTTTCTTCATTAAAGGAAGAGAAAGACATTACATCTTATATAATAAAGAGGTAATACGCAAATTGACCATCACAAGATGGCCACCCCATTGTCACAAGATGGCCACCCCCCACATCTGTCACAAGATGGCCAGAAGAAAAGGGCAGTTGGGGTTGACTAGGCCTGCAGGAGAGGGCAGTTGTGGGAGGACCAAGCTTGCAGGGGAGGACAGCTGGGGGTGATCAGGCCGGCAGGGGAGGAGTTAAGTGTCAATAATGCCATCAGGGAGAGGTTAGGGGCTATCAGGCAGAGTCGTTAGGGCAATCAGGCAGCCAGGTAGTGAGCAATTAGGAGCCAGCAGTCTCAGATTGTGAGGGATATCCAAATGCCAGTTTTGTCCCAATCCCTCAGGGACCCCTCACAGCAAAAGAGCAATGGAAAACTAAATATAAACAATTATTTAAATAAAATTCTTAAGTTAGGAGTCCCAGATTGGAGAGAGTGCAGGCTGGCTGAGGGACAACCCCCCACCAGTGCACAAATTTCATGCACTTGGCCTCTAGTCCTATATAATAAAAGCCTAATATGCTAAGTGTCCAGTCTGTTCAACCAATCAAAGCACAATATGCTAACGATATGCTAAGGCCACTCAACCACTCACTATGTCGTGCCCTGACCACCAGGGAACAGATGCTCCAACAGGTAGGTTAGCTTGCTGCTGGGGTCCAGCCGATTGGGACTGAGCAAGAAGGGCCAGACACACCCAGGAGCCCTCTGGTGGTCCTTCCCTAACTGGCCAACCTTGGAGACTCTTCAGGGGATGTCGGAGAGCCAGTTTGAGTTAGCTCAAAATTTCCTTCTTTTTCTTTACAGAAAGATAATAAAACTAATTGGTACTGATGAACTTAGTATGTTACCAAATTCGTATAAAATCATCTCTAAACACTGACATGAGAAAACTGGCCATAATGCAGAAAAGTAAAACAAAAGAGTTCACTAAGTATCCATGTCTTAAATAGAATTAACATTGAGGACATAATATTTTAGATGGGGTTTGTAGAGCATCATGGCAGTCTGTTCTGGAAATTTATATTTTCAAAACATTTATCTAGTACATAAAAGCAAATATTTAGCAGTAGAACTCTATAAAGAAATATAAAGTTAAATAAATCTTTGATTGTCAAATTTTTAAATGTTTATCTCAAGTTTCCTTTGTGAATCACCAACAAGAGTAAAAATATTTGAAAAATAATTATTTTTAAAAATATAAAAATGGCCTTGGCTAGTTTTCTCAGTGGTTAGAGCATCAACCCTCAGATGGAAGGGTCTTTGATTCAATTCCTGGTCAAGGCATGTACTTCCGTTGCAGGTTCAAAACCCAGTCCCAGTCAGGGCAGGTGCAGGAGGCAACCAATTGATGTGTCTCTCTTATATCAACGTTTCTCTCTCTCTCTTCCCCTTTTTCACTCTCTCTAAAAGATCAATGGAGCCGAAACCTGTTTGGCTCAGTGCATAGAGCATCAGTCTGCGGACTGAAAGGTCCCAGGTTCGGCCGAGACTGGTTTGGCTCAATGGATAGCGCATTGGCTTGGGGACTGAAAGGTCCCGGGTTCGATTCCAGTCAAGGGCATGTACCTTGGATGTGGGCACATCACCAAAACGGGGTGCGCAAGAGAGACAGCTGATCGATGATTCTCTCTCATCGATGTTTCTAACTCTCTATCCCTCTTTCTCTCTGTAAAAAAAAATCAATAAAACATATTTTAAAAAATAAATAAAATATCAATGGAAAAAATGTCCATGGGTAAGGATTAAAATATATATATAGTTTCATAATGGCACAATTTTGAATTCTGAAACATCAAGCCTAGAAAATGTCTCCTTTAGGAAGGAGTTTTGATAAAATGTCATCAGATATGATAGTCTAGGACAGGATAGGATGGGATGGGACAGAGTGCATTGCATAACTCTTGGTTCAATTAAATATATGTATGCATACTGGGCCATACTGTTCAATGTATTTCTTACTGCTATGCACAACCACAATTTTTTTTTTAATACTGGGGGGGAAAAAGAAGAAAATCTTAACTTTTAATAACTATGAAATAAATTTATGCTCTTTACTTTTGTAAGTCACAATGCAAGGCCAAGCCATGTAAGCAGTACTTACATGTGTTTTTTGCTAAGCTATACAGAGGTTCTAACTTCACATATTTAAATCACTAGGAGATTGAGAAATATAGATGTCCAGGCTCTATCTCCACAGTATAGTTTAATTTGCTAAATAAAATCCAGGCATAACTATTTTTTTAAAAGCCTAATCTTACCAAATAATTTCAATGTGCAAAGTTGAAAATCATTATTCTAAAAAAGATCTTTAGCCCTGGCCAGTGGCTCAGTTGGTTGGAATGTCGTCCTGTACACCAAAAGATTGTGGGTTCAATTCCCAGTCCTGGCACATACCTAGGTTGTGGGTTCGTTCCCAGGTCCAGGCAAGTAGTGGGGGGCAATTGATCAATGTTTCTTTCACATCATGTTTCTCTCCCCGCCTTCCTCTCTCTCCAAAAAAACAAATAAATAAAAAGACCTTTATTGTCAGATTATACTTTTCTCATCCACATAATGCTTCTTTCTTCTATGGAATTCTGAAAACTAATTTTGCTCATTCCTTGCAACCAGACTTTTTCATTTTCAAGGGTTTGACAGTATTAGGCAACATAAACAACAAAACAGCAATTCACATAACCAATCCTAAAAATCTAGTCTAGAAAAGTTAAAAATCCCTCACATACCAAATATACTAAACTCCTGTGGTTTTATCTTAACACTTTATATTGGTTCTCTTTTGATAAAAAGAGAATTCCAATAAGTTAATAAATAAATAAATAGGAGAGGCACACACATGCATAAACTGATTGTCAATATCTTGTAAATTACTATTTATTTTCTAATTGCCACTGTTTCCAAGAAATGATACAGTTCAAATATAACTACTATCTATAATAATCTATAATCAAAGCATAATATGCTAATTACACCAGACATCCTTCCGGATAAGGCCGGGGACAGCTGCGAGGAAGCCTGGGTCCCCAGTGCCAGAGGGAAGCTGGTGCCAGCAGCAGGGAGAAGGCAGGCCTACTCTTGCACGAATTTCGTGCATCAGTCCTCTAATATATGAAAATAATTCTCCAAGCCATATATTAAAATCAATTTTACTTAATAACAATGCTATATAAATGTAGCAACAGATATCCTAATAAATTCTGGTAAACATGGATAAATTCCTATAGCTAAACCAAAATCATTAAGAGATAAAATATACTTTTACTTATAAAATATAGAGGAATCAATAGGAAAAAAAACATTTTAACTCCATATAAGTGTTTAATATTTTTAAAAGTGATCAATCACAAATAACCTGGCCATATCACAGATGGGCTATACCATATTTGGAGTAATATATGTGTTCTATCAGGTTGTTGGCTTGGCTCTTTTTTGTTATCTACATGTAGATAATTACCACATAGCAAACACAGATTTAAATCCTATATAATAAAAGGTTAATATGCAAATTGACCAAAAGGTGAAATGACCAGTCACATTGAGCACCAGAGGGCAGATGCTCAATGCAGGAGCTGCCCCCTGGTGGTCAGTGCGCTCCCACAGAGGGAGCACAAATCAGACAGAAGCCACACTATCAGGGGGCGAATACAGCAGCGGTGCGGGGGGGGGGGAGGTCTCAGACTGCAAGTGATAGCATGCCAGGCTGAGAGACCCCCACCCTAGTGCCCAAATGTCGTGCACCAAGTCTCTAGTATATATGTAAAAGAGAATACTCACTAAACATATATAAGTGGGAAACTGCAATGAGCTATTAAATTCTCAAGAAACAATGACATTAGAATAGGATGGTTAGTGGTATACTCCATCTCCCCCTGGTGCTATGGGATGAAATAACTTACTTTTTTAAAAATTCTACTAGATTAAGAAAAATATGCATGAGAGACAGCCAAAGCAATTTTCTAAAGTGTTTCTATTTTTTGCCATTAATAACTACAAAACAGAAAATGTATTCTTAAAGCCTTTTTTTTTTATGAAGTCACAACCAACAAAACAAAACAAAGCTGGAAAGTGATGAAAAGGGAATATAACTAAAATATAAGAGTTATCTGTATTAAAGCACCAAAGCATCCTTCTTCTCTGACTTAGGAACATAAAAGGACTTTCTTTATACTTTTGTTTATATAATATTGCAGCAAATCAGTTTAAGATTTCAAAAGATTTAATTCATACCTCCATTGGTATGTGGTTTCTTTTTAAATGAAACTGTATTAACCATGTCCCACTCTGCTTCGTAACTGTTCACATGTTCTGGTCCTCGATGAGCTCTTTCTTTTGGGGCCTGAGTCCATTCTACAACTGAACTGGAATCCTAAAATGATTGTAACACATAAAATATTTAGAAACTAAAAGTAAAATTTAATTTCAATCAATAATATTAAATGTGTACATTATGGCAAAACGTAAACTCTATTTCCTGTCATTTTCTCCCTTGCCCATCTTTACCATCGGGAGTACACCAGTATCTTTTCCATCCTCCTTCCCTTCCCTCCCCAGTCGTGCTACACCTTTGCCTTTCCCTCTCCTAAGCTCCTTTTGCTTCTGCTGCTTGTTTCCTGAGCCTACACAGCCCAACTGGCTCACTTCTTCTATCTTTGTAATTTTCTAAATAAACTGTCTCTTACAATTAGAAAAAAAGAGAAAGAGAAGGGGAGGGGAGGGAGAAAAACTTACCCAGATGCCTTGCAGTTAAGGGTGCCAATGAAATATAAGCAGAAGTCAACTGCAGGGCTTCTGGAACTGGTTTTGCTTCCCTAAAAAAAAACTTCATCCCTTTTCCCCCTTTTCCTGCTTCCAATGAAGCCGTGTTGCCTAAAAACATGGCAGCTACCTCATAACCATAAGAAACAAAACAAGATAACTACTACAAATAGCTCCAAATCTTCAGACTTCTGGTTGAGGAAAACAGCCAATGGTGCCTACTTACATAAGCCACCATCAGCTGCATATTTTCTTTAACTTAAAATTAGCTAAACATTACAAATAACGTATTTACATGTATAGTTCTAATAAAACCTGCCATTTAAAAAGAGACTTATATACAGCAAAAACTTATATACAGCAAAAGATACCACACATAAAAGAGAAGCAAGACTGGCTGAAAATATTTCCAAAATATAAGGTAGATGACTTAAAAAACATCCAGAATACCAAAACAACTCCTACCAATTATTTCAAAATCAACAAATATCAAAAGAGAAAAATATGCAAATGCTATCAACAAGCAAGTCAAAAAATATAAAGTGCCAAACATATAGGAGGATATTCAACTTCAGAAACAATCAAAGAAAATCAAGTTAAGATGAATTTCAATTACTTTGCCCTTTTCAATTAAAAAATAAAAACAGGAGAGACAGAAAGACAGTATGAGGAAATGTGATGACAGTAATTACTCCATAAAGGCAGTTCAGCCAACCTTATTTTTTTAAATATATTTTATTGATTTTTTTACAGAGAGGAAGAGAGAGGGATAGAGAGTTAGAAACATCGATGAGAGAAAATCATCGATCAGCTGCCTCTTGCACACCCCCTTACTGGGGATGTGCCCACAACCAAGGTACATGCCCTTGACCAAAATCAAACCAGGGACCTTTCATGCAGTCCAATGCTCTATCCACTGAGCCAAACCGGTTTCAGCCTCAGCCAACCTTATTAAAATTCAAAATATGCATGTGTTTTACCACAACAAACTTCTTTTCATCAGCTACCTCCCAGAAAATACTAACACATGTATACAAAGAAGCATATACAAGAATTTTCATAACAGCATTTTTTGCAAAAGTGAAAACTTGGAAATTCCTAATATTCATCAATGAAGAAATGAGTAAATAATAAACCAGGGAGTAGCCAATGAAATATTAGCCAATAGTTTAGACTGATAATATGTTAATATTTATCTATGTTCAATACATACAATAAATAAAAATGTGCAGCATAACTACATGTAAATATGTAAATAGAAATGCACAGGAGAAAACTAGGAATGGATAAGTAGATAGGAAAACTGTACAGATATATTCTTGAAAAACATACACTAATGGACAGATGAGGAACAGGGCTATAATCAAACAGGACTTTAACTTTCCATTATTTGAATTTTTAGAAGAATGTGTTCATATATTGCTAGTTATCATTCTTTTATTTTTAAAAAGGGGAAAAGGAAATTTGTGGGGATAGGAGATAGTATAAAGGTACAAGAAAATTAAATAATGACAGATAGAAACTGAAAATTGGGGAGTGACTGAATAAATGAAATTATAGAGTGTTTCTTCTTTCAGGTCCTTCCTAGGGAGCCTCCATATATGGTTACCCAATTAAAAAATGCAGCCCTGCCCTAGCCAGTTTGGCAAAGTGAATAGAGTATAGGCACTCGGACTGAAGGGTCTCAGGTTGGATTCTGTGCAATGGCACATACCTTGGTTGCAGGCTCCATTCATGGCCCTGGTCTGGGAACGTGAGGAAGGCAACCAATGGATGTCTCTCTCTCACTTCAATGTTTCTCTCTCATTTTCTCTCCCCAAACCTTCCACTATTTCTAAATATCAATGGAAAAATATTCTTGGTATAGTACCGTGTTTCCCCAAAAATACGACATCCTCCGAAAATAAGACCTAGCGTGTGGAAAGATAAGACATCCCCTGAAAATAAGACCTAGTGCAACTTTGGGAGAAAAAATTAATATAAGACACTGTCTTATTTTCGGGGAAACAGGGTATTAACAAAAATGAGAAATAAAATAATAAAAACACTGTTGGGGGAAGGAGGGAGAATGCAACCTTTACCACCATCATTACCAACTCTACCATCTCTAGTGGAGAAAGCTAAGAAGCATCTACAGAACCCTCACCTCACACAAAGGCTTGGAATAGGTACATCAAGTACTATTGGAAATCAGGATAAAGGTCAAGCTAAAAACAGGACTACTAACAAAGTCCAGAGGCTAGAAGTTTACTCATTAAAAAAGCTAACAGATTATCTCTGGATTAGGAGAAACCAAGCACACTCAAGAAAAGGGATAATACATTAAAAACAAGAGAATTGCCTACAAGTCCATCACAACAATGAGTTGGCAAGGTTCCTAGCTCTCTTCCTCTACTCAGTTCTCATAACACTGGAATCCAGGCTTAACCTTTCCAGCCAGGAATCTGCAGATTGTTCTCTGAACAATGAGTAGCCCTAAATTTCAATACCAAGGATTCTCAAGGAAGCAGACTAGCCAGGTCACCCTGAGACCCAACTATTACCAACCTACTCAAACCTACAGAGATTATAGTCACTTTTCTGAATGCTGTTAAATATGAGCACTACAAAGATCACCAAACTTCAGGCAAATGTCTATACAGAAGACAAAGTCCAAATGAAACAAGAAAAAGAAAGTCAATTAGAGGAAGTAGATTATATACAGAAATGAAAGCATCTTAAAAAAAAAACTATCCTTAAACACCTTAGAAATAAGGAAGGATATTACATCCACTAAGAACAGGATGCCATGTTTAAAAACAGTGTGAGGCAAGCCAGTGAGCCAGGATAAGTAGAACAGGGAACTGAGACAGATAGCTGAACAAACTGGCAGAGCAATTTTTAGCAGGTACAGAAGGTCAACTCCCTAGAAATAACATCTAAGCCCCAGTCATATTTCAGCTCCAGTCCCAGAAAAGTAGCAAAAACAAGTGGGCAACACCAGAATTAGTTGCAATGACTAATGACCCCCTGCCCTGACACTGACCAATCAGTGAAGACCATGACCCTGAAGGAGCACATCTAGAAAGGTGATGGAACATGCTGCTAAAAACCCTCCTCTCCCCAAGATCTCCCCTAAGATTCCTGCCAGCAAGAAAAGAATTCAGCTTTCCCTCTGGGGCGCAGCCCCCACCATTTCCTTTCCTCTCTTCCTCTACCACAGGAAGGCATCTCCTACACTTCAATGGACACCATGAGACTTGCAACCAGAGGAGCAACGGGCAGCAGAAACTCGTCCCAAGCTAACCCCTGAACCTGTTTCCAAGGCCCCCTTTTAGCTTACTTCCCAGAGAGCTAGACAGCCCAGCCTAGGCTCTCCTGTTGCTTCTTCTATTCTAACCCACTTCTTGTTTTACTGTCCCCAGCTTTAATAACATTCCCTCATAATCATCTGGACTCACATTGTAAAATTTTTCCTGCACAAAATCAAGAACCCACTCAGGGCCAGCTCCCCTGTCTGTTAACACTGAGAAGGAACAAACAACACAATTTCCTAGAAATTAAAACTATAATAGCATGGCCTGTGTGGGTCAGTAGTTGAGCATCTACCTATGAACTAGGAGGTCACAGTTCACTTTCTGTTCAAAGCACATGCATGGGCTGTGGGATTGATCCCAGTAGAGGACATGCAGGAGGTGCCAATCAATGATTCTCTCTCATCACAGATGTTTCTATCTCTCTTCTCCTCCCTTCCTCTCTGAAATCAATAAAAACATATTTTGAAAAAAATTTTTTTAAATATAACGAAAATGAAAAAGGCAATAAAATAACTAAAAGATAAAACTGAATAAATTTGGCCAGAATATAGAATACATATATACACAATGAATTACTAGAAAATAGGAAAGAAAGTATTAAAAAAAATTACAGGACCAGTCCAAGAGTTTCCTAAGGAAAGAAAAGGAAAAATGGAGAGGAAATAACTCAAAAATATTTCCTAAGAAGTAAAAAACTCAAGTTTCCATATTAGACAGGCCCATCAAATACTCAGCACAAAAAAAAAAAAAAAAAAAAAAAAGACTACAAAGGCTCATTACCAGGACATCTTAAAAGATTCTAAAGAAGAAAAATACATAAAAAGGATAGGGGATTAGAATGCATTCAACCTAACATCAATAAAGAAAACTAGACAAACCTGGGATGATAACTTTCAAAAACATGTGGGAAAAATTATTTTCAAACTCTAATTCTATGCCAGCCAAGCCAGAATAAAAATAAAAAGTCTTAAAAAAATATATTTTTGGTTCCCATGCACCATTTTTTTCCTTAGGAAACACTGGAACTTGGGAGTAAACCCAAAACAAAGGAGTAAACCCAAATAGGTAGATAACAGCATAGGATTTTTTAAAAAGGAGTAAGGGAATAAAATATGGAAAAGAGACTAAAAGATTCCCCAGGATAATTGCTGCACAGAAAACCCAGAGGGCAACTAGTACAAAATGAAGCATGTAAGATTTTGGAAGAAATTTCTCTATGAAGATAAAATTAGATCATGTACATGATTAAATACTTAGAGAAGAAATGTGAATAGCTGAGCCAGAGTTTCAAGGTGAAGGTGAAATAGAGATAAGACAGAGTTAAATCTCTACCTACCACAGTGAGAAGTCAACAGGACACAAATGTTACAAATTATCATAAAAACCCAATGATTCTACTCTTAGGTTTTCAAGAGAAAATATATGCTCACACAAAAACTTATACAAGAATGTTCAGAGCAGCATTATTTATATTAGTTTTAAAGTAAAAAAAAAAAATAGTCCATCAAATAATGAAAAAACAAAATGTGGTATATCCATAAACGCAGTATTATTCGAGGGGGGGAAGAGAAAAGAACAATAAATGCTGTATTATGCATAATGCTGTATGCATAACTGCTGTATGATACTTTATGCTGATCAAAAGAAGCCAATCACAAAAGACCACACATTGTATGGAAATGTCTACAATAGCAAATTCAGAGACAAAGTAGATTAGTGGTTGCCAGGGATTGGAAGATGAGGAGATTAAAGAGTGACCAACCAATAAGGTGTTTCTTTTTTGGGAGTGATGAAATGTTCTAAAATTAAATATTGGCAATGGTTGCACAAAACTGTAAATTTACTAAAATCACTGAATTATACACTTTAAAAGAGTGAGTTTTATGAATTATATCTCAATGAAGCTATAAATGCCCTAACTTTCCTGAGTCATATATTTTTTTTAAATACCTTTCCAGCATAGAGAATACTTGAAGAATCTAAAGCATCATCCAATGGTCTCCAATCCACTATAACTTCAGCATCCTAGAGAAAAAAATTATGAACTGCATTTACTATTCAGCAATGTCTTACATTCTTAGTCATTATTACATTCTTACATTATTTTTAATCCCATGAATCCACAATAAGTTAACCTCTTAAATACTAGCACTTTAAATATGCAGCATCATATATAAACTACTAATAGACAACCAATATATTGTAGATTTTAAAACTCTGCTCATATTTTATTATAAGAAACTAGTAGCCCAGTGCATGAAATTCTTGCACATTAAAAGGGGATTAATTAGAGAAAATATATATATATATTTTTTTTTTGGTAAAGGAAAGTTTTTTGTTTTTTTTTTAAATATATTTTATTAATTTTTTACAAAGAGAAAGGGAGAGAGATAGAGAGCTAGAAACATCGATGAGAGAGAAACATCGACCAGCTGCCTCTTGCACAACCCCTACCGGGGATGTTCCCACAACTAACGTACATGCCCCTCACCGGAATCGAATCTTTCAGTCCGCAGACCGATGCTCTACCACTGAGCCAAACCATTTTTGGCTAGAGGAAATATTTTAATATTGCTATTTGCCCGTTCTCTATAAGTGTCAGAGATGAAAGAAAATTAGTAAAATGTATATGAAAATCTTCCTCCTGTCAGAATCTGGAGCACAGCTCAGACCCAGAGTCAAGTACCCGCCCACCTGCAGCACCTCAAAATTGTGCGAGACCCAGCCCCAGCCAGCCCCACCCTTGTCAAGCCCTGCCAGGCAGGGGCACAGCCTCAGTCCCCTGTCAAGCCCCGCCAGGTGGGGGACGTGGCCTCGGGTTCCCGGGCACTAGGGAGGGGGAAGCAGTCTGAAGTTCTCTATCAAACCCCGCTGGGCAGAGAGCACAGCATGAGGTCCTCCGTCAAGACTTGCCGGGTGGGGGGCATGGCCTGAGGTCCCCCAGTCTGGCACCAGGGCAGGGGACACGGTCTGAGGACCCAGTCAAGCCCCACCAGGCAAGGAGCACAGCCTCAGGTCCTCTGCCCTGACCTAGCACCAGGTAGCCTCAGGTCCCTGCTGATTGCTCATTAAGGCTTGTTACAGGAAATCAGCCTCCACTGTGGGTGCAGCCATCTTGTATTACAGAAACCCCACCTCCACTATGGGCACCATTATCTTTGTGATGGCATGGCAGCCAATTTGCATATTCCCTCTTTATTAGATAGGGTGTATTAATGCAACTTGTACATAATAAGTTTTTAAGTATTCCATGCCATTTTACTGGCTTACCAAAAGTATTTTATTTCTAATATCATTTAATGTTAAATTTACAACTTCTGTTCAATTACATATCTTTATCTTACACATAGAATCCCAATTTGCTGATAATACCCCAAAGATTAGCCACTATCATGACAATTAATTATTAAATAAAATCATTTCCTGGAAACATACCTTCTCTAAAACACGTAATATTCCTGAAATCAAGCTGTCTTGGTCATTGCTCTTTCCACAAGACGAGTGAATGTAGACACCTTCCTGTTCATATATAACCTGGAAAAGCAAAAGTAAAATTAATCACACTATTTTTATTCAATACTATTTCAACATCAGTTAAAAAAAAATTAAAGAGATCTTTCTGTATAATGCCTGAATCAAGTTTCCGATTATTTCATTCGTAAATGTATTATCAGGAACAGATTGTGATGAGAGAACCAAGATGGAGGTGTAGATAAACAGTACTTGTTGTTTCTCACAACAACATCAAAATTATAAAACACCAAATAACCATCATTCAGAACTGACTGAAAGCTGGCTGAAAGGAAGTTCTACAACCACAGAAATAAAGAAAGCACACTGAGACAAGTAGAAGGGGCAGAGGCGTGGAATAGGCTGGTCCAACACCCACACGTGACATTTTTTAATCGTGAGGGATATCTCCAAGACCTCCCCTCAGAAGCAGGAGGTCACAGCCCTCCACGAGGGTTCCAGAGTTGGAAAAAGAAGTCCTTGTAACTTCAGGCTGTAGAAACCAGCAAGGACTGTGCTGAGTGATATGGAAGCTGCTGAAGTACCAGGTGTTCCACAACCTTGTAAGGTCCTGCTCCCTCTAAGCTCCAGCACCAGGCAGCAGGTTTAGGGGAATCCAGGGACATACATGGAGGAAATGAACTGCCTGGCATCAAGGCAGAAACTCATGGGCAGCTTTCTCCCAGACAGGTATGCCAGCTGGGGTCATTGTTCCTGCGCTGGGACCTCCCCAATCGCAGAGCTGACTGGCAACCATATGTGAGTTTCTGTAAGCACGGCCCATATTGTTTGTTCCACCCTGATGATTCCCTGAGAACCCACCATTGGCTTTTTCATATGAATGGCCTGTCCTGCTCAGGCTTCAGATTTCCTAAAATCTCTCAAGCAGCAGCTGGCATCAAACCTATCAATAAAAGGCCCAAAACTCTACACTAGCACCAGCCTGCCTTGCTTCTACAACATGGCCTCACCTGGGCACTTCCTAGCCCAAAACAAGTAGCAATGTCTGTACATCTCACTGTAGTTCATGTCAGGTGGCCCCAGGCAGTGGCTGATTTTGCATCTCCATGGAAGTCCCAGAGTCAGTGCACCCAGTGAAAAGCTTCAGACCACAGCATATTACAACACTACACATCCACACGCAACACACTCAAGGGGAAGACTCAGCAAACACCAAAGACCCACTGAATAAAGTCCTGCTGCATAGGGATGTCACCTGCATAGCAACTCTTCCATTGTAGTCACAACTGGTCCTCACAGCCAACAGGCCTGGAAGTCAATTCCTCCTAGACAAGCCAACAGCAATCAAGGCTCAAGTACAAGACTGCATCCAGGCCATAAAGGGGCAGACCTAGAGTGCACAGCTCAGGTGACTGGGGAGGTTGAGCCACTGGGCCCTATAGGGCACCTACTATAAAAGACCACTCTACCAATTCTAAGAGACATAAGAACTCTACCTAATACATAGAAACAAACTCAGGGACCAAAATATAGAGACAAAGAAACATGTCACAAATGAAAGAAATGGAAGGAAGCAAACTACTGGATACAGAGTTCAAAACAATGGTTATAAGGTTTCAAAGATCTTAATGAGAGCTTCAAGGAACTTAATAAGACTTTCAAGGATCTTAGTGAGAATGTCAAAGACGTAAGAAAGGAACAGTCAGAAAATAAGCAAAACTAACTGAAAATTAAGAACAATTTAAGATATTCAACAATAGAGTAAAAGATTCCAAGGACCAAATCAATAATTTGGAATATGAGGAAGCAAAAATCATCCAATCAAAAGAGCAAAAAATAAAAATAAAAATAAACAAAAATATGAAGATAGTGTAAGGAAACTCTTAGACAACTTCAAGCATACTAACATTCACATTACGGGAGAACCAGAAGAAGAGAGAGAGCAAAGAATGGAAGACCTATTTGAAGAAATAATGACAGAAAATTCCCCCTACCTAGTGAAAGAAAGCAGAGTTCAGGAAGCACAGAGTCTGAAAGAAGAAGAACCCTAAGAGGCCACACCCGGAAACAGCATAATTAAAATGTAAGCGTAAAAAGGCAAAGAGAGAACCTTAAAAGCGGCAAGAAAAAAGCAGTTAGTTACCTACAAGGGAGTACCCATAGAGTGTCAGATAATTTCTCAACAGTAACTTTACAGGCCAGAGGGAAGGGCAAGATACATTCAAAGTGATGAATAGCAAAGACCAATGACCAAGATTACTTTACCCAGTAAAGCTATAATTTAGAATTGAAGGTCAGATAAAGAGCTACACAGGCCAAATATCAACAGTACGATTTAAATTTCTTTTGAGGAGAGGGTCCAAGATGGCTGCACAGGTAAACACCTAACCGCAGCCGCACACAACAATTTCAATGGAATACAACTAAAATATAAAATGGAAATTTCCCAGAGGTACAGGTAGTCGAATGACTGAAAATTCTACAACAAGAAGGAAAGGGAAAACCAGAAGGAAAATCAGAGGAGCTGAAAAAGTCTAAGGTAAACCCCGTCCCATCTGTAACTGTGAAATGCAACAACAAAATAGATCACAAACGAAAGAAATGGAGGACAAAAAGCGACTGGATATAGAGTTCAAATCTACGCTTATAAGGTTTTTCAAGAATTTCCTAGAAAAGATGGATAAGACCAAAGAGGATATGAAAAGAGATCAACTAGAATTAATAAGGAGTTATCAAGAAATGATAAGGGATCAACAAGAAATAAAGAATACATTATCTGAAATAAAAAATATTTTACAGAGTCCTAAAAACAGAAGGGAAGATCGCAAGAATCAAGTCAAAGATTGGGAACAAAAAGAGCCAGAAGACACTCCTCCACAGAAGCTAGAAGGCAAGAGAATCCAGAAAATTGAAGATAATGTAAGAAACTTCTGGGACAACTTCAAGCAAACCAACACCAGAATTATGGGGGTCCCAGAAGATGAGCAAGATATCGGAAACATACTGAAAGAAATAGTGACAGAAAACTTTCTCACCTGGTGAAAGAATTAGACTTACAAGTCCAGGAAGCGCACAGAATTCCAAACAAAAGGAATCCAAAGAGGACCACAGCAAGACAAATCATAATTAAAATCCCAAGAGCAAAAGACAAAGAGAGAATATTAAAAGCAGCAAGAACAAAGAAGGTAGTTACCTATAAAGGAGCACCTATACGATTGTCAGCTGACTTCTCAACAGAAACCATGCAGGCCAGACGGGAATGGCAAGAAATATTCAAGGTGATGAATAGTAAGAACCTACAGCTAAAGATAATCTATCCAGCAAAGCTATCACTCAGAATCGAAGGCCAGATAAAGAGCTTCACCAATAAAAAAAAAATAAGCTAAAGGAGTTCATCAACACCAAACCAGAATTATATGAATTGCTGCAGGGGGTTCTTTCAGAAGAGAAAGTAAACAAAGATAAAAATTATGAACAACAAATACGTAACTATCAACAAGTGAATCTAAAAACCAAGGAAATTAAAAAAGAAATCTGGTGAACAATAGTAACTGTTGAATATAATAGAATCAGAGGTATGGAAGGGGAGTGAACTGACGATTCTTGGGGAAAAGGGGAGAGGGGTGCGTGGGAAGAGACTGAACATAAACTGTGCACCTATGGATGAGTACAATGGGAAGTGGGGAAAGGGCAAAGGGTGGGGTGGGAACCTGGTGGAGGAGAGCAATGGTGGGGGGGAAAGGAACATTTGTAATAATATGAACAAAAAAAACTTATTTTAAAAAATAATAAAATAAAAAAATAATAAAAAATAAAAAAGCCTAAGGTATGGAGACATGTTGCGCGTGCGCGCATAGGCACGCAGCGCAGAAGACAGAGCCAGAGAGGAGGAGGCGGCTGGGTGCCTGCCTGGCATTCCCTAGCAGGAAGGAAATAAAAGCCCAGGCCTGGGCTGAACCCCAGAACTGGCAGCGCTGAGCCCCAGTTCTGGGCCAGACCCTGAGGACCCAGGTTCAGGCAGGGGGAGACAGGGCTGTGAGGCAGAATCCCAGGGGAGCGGCGAAAAGTGGAGCCCCTGGAGTCGCGCACATTGCACGCAGAGGACGGAATGTTGACTCTGATACTGGATTGCCCTTGCGGAAGGAAACAAAACCTCCGGCTGTGCTGACCCCCAGTTCCAACTGCTCTGAACCCCAGCGGCGAAAGGCAGAGCCCCCGGAATCACGCACATTGCGCGCAGAGGACAGTCTGTTGACTCTGATGCTAGACGCCCCTAGCGGGAAGGAGAAAAAAGCTCCAGACTGGGAGGAACGCGATGAGGAGCAGGAGCTGCTGCCAGACACCGGCCAGCCAGGCACCGGCAAGGAGCCAGGCGACGGGGCCCCCGGGAGAGGGGGGGTGCCACTGGGCCCTCAACTGCTGATCTCGGGCCATGGAGCCGAGGCCGGGGGCTGCTTCCTGGGCTGCACCGACCCCGGCAACAGGCTGAAGCTGCGCAGGAGGCCACGGAGAACAAAGGGGCACCGCAGGCCAACCTGCTGAGCTTCCAGGATAAGGAGGAAGAAACCGAAGAAGTTTTCAATGTGAAGAAATCAAGTTATAGCAAAAGATAGTAAAATTACTTAAGAAAGAATACCAAGAAGATCTTGAAAAAATCAAAGACTAAGATAGAACTGAACTCAGCAGCCAACATTGCAACATAAATGCGTTTAAAAAAAAAAGGACAGAATGTTGGAACAGCGGCGGCCAGGCCCAGAGTGGCCAGACCCAAGGCAGTGGCAGCCGGGCCCGGAGCAGCAGCAGCCAGAACCAGAGCAGCAGCAGCCAGGCCCGGAGCAGCCAGATCTGGGGAAGTGGCAGCCAGGCCTGGGGCGGAGGTGACCAAGCCCAGGGTGGCCAGGCCAGGAGCCCCCAGGCCCGGAGTAGCCATGCCCGGAGCAGCCGGGCCCAGAGCAGTCGGGTCGGGGCAGCCAGGCCCAAAGCAGCAGTAACCAAGCTTGGAGCAGCCGGGCCAGAAGCAGCCGGGCCGGGAGCAGCCAGGCCCAGAGCGGCCAGGCCCGAAG